ACTTCAAAAAAGAACACTTAAAAAGGCTCAGTACCTTCCTAAAACAGCTGGGGCCTCATTTATAACGCCTTGCGTAGGATTGACGTGAGAAGGTTGCTTACGTAGTACAAAGCAAAAAAATAGGTACAGAGATTTTCCGACATTTTCCGATTCACAAAACATTGCGTACCGGTGAGGGAAGTGCGTACCGGCACTTCATACGCCTGTTTCCCTTGATAAATCACAATCGACTCGAAATGCGGCGCAGCTTTTGCAGGCTTCACGTAACGCCCATATTTGCCTATAAATAGTCAAAGAAACGCCCATTCATTCATTCATTTTTGACTGACTGCATGAAGAAGATCGCAGGAAATTACGACCGAACAGCTAAAAAAGACATCTCACACCGTGTCAGATTTTGGTTATTTTGGGGAGGTCGAGATAAATCATATTGTTTGGTGGATGCAGTTTGAACCAGAGTAGCAGCATGGAGGTCGGATCGTCACCAAAATAAATAAATAAGTGGTCCGAAAAAAGTTAATGACAAAAAAAATACACATAACCTTCCTCAGGCAGTGTGTTTGTCCCGGGGACAGGAGACACCCCCTTGATGAGAAACTGTAAGAAATGATCGGGGAATCCCTCCGGAGTGGAGTCATGACGACTGGATCTGAATTATTTTGTTGTATTTGGTGGTTTGTGTTCCAGCTGTCGATCAGCAACTATATATCCATAATCCACCAGTTAAAGGAAATACAACTAATGTGTTGTGTTATATTAGCTGTACAATTTACCGCACATGGTGTTCTTAGTTTCCATACCTCCTGTGTTTTACGAGCGACTTATCAAGTCTTGGCAAACGGCATAAAACACGATTAAACGTGATAGTATATAAAACCATGCTCGTATCTACAACCTATAGAAATGCAAAACGGCGTCAGTTTAGACGTTATTCTGTCCTCCTGCTTACCGCATCATTTATGAGAAAACATTTCATAACATTAACACAACATATTCAAGGTGGTTTTAAATAACATATCCGTATTTATTTATTTCCCCAAGTTATGTTTTTGTGTGCACTGAGGAGTCTCAAACAGGCGTTTGTTTAATCATTTTAAGATTGGCATTAATCAATGTTTGAAAATGAATTCTTCATATGATAAATGAGAGGTAACATTTTATTTATTTCCACATATTTCTCTCCATTCTTCCTTCTGCCAACGGTGTCGCAGTTTCTCGTCTCTCCCGTTGTTGTGCTTAGTGCGTACGCATGGGTTACAGTTTGCGTGGAGGACCGCACATTTTCCCGTCAAGTTAGTATTTTATAAATCGCAAACATTGCGTAGAAACTGGCGTACGGCATTTTTTGAGCGTATATCCCTTTATAAATGAGGCCCCTGGTCACTGTAGTCTTGTATCATAGCAGACAGAAGGAAATGTGATGAGGACTATTTTCAAAGTACAGTGTGTGTGAGTTCATGGTCATTCAGGAACATGTCAACCAGTGAGATGTGTTTTTTATAGTTCTTGGACACGGTGCAACTCTATGGCACAGAGGGAAGAGATATCGGGCTTTGATGCATGTTCTTCATGAGTGTTTGTCTTATGCTCTCTCTGTAAGTGGAGGAGATGTGAAGCGAAATAATTCAAAAACAAAACCAATGTCCTGCGGGTCGTGTTGTAAGTGAGTCTCAAACATTGTGAGAAACCAAGCAGGAGCTCGTACATTAGTGTCTGTGCACGGCAGACAGATGAGATGATGATTTTTGTGACGCGGCGTAGTGAGGCTGAGTGCGGGGCGATGCTTGGCTTAAAGCTCCCTGTGTCTGTCTGTCCGTCCCTCTCATTGTTATCCTCTAGCTTAGAGCAGGCTTGTGGCCGAGCAAGCCGCATTAGCAATGCGAGGAGCTGTACGAGCCCTGATGGTTATGTAACCCCTCCCCTCCCCCCAACACACACACAAACACACATGCATTCATGCACGCACACACACAAACAAACAAGCCCTTAAGCCTCTCTGGTCCGTAGCAGGCACACGCTAGCAAGTGTCTCTCACCCGCTTATCGTTACATCATTACTATACAGGCCTACTTTCTCCATGCAGCAGCCTCAGTGTAAAGTATACTGTCAGATGTTAAATGCAATGCAAAAAATATATATGCAGCAAGTTACTGCCTTCAATGCATGGCTTACTTTTCAATAGGCAAATCTACCAAAATGCATACAATTATTTCTTTATCAGCAGAAAAATAGCTACATTTCTTTATGTTTAGCTAACTCTCTATCAACAATTGCAAGTAAGTTTTTTTTTTATTGTATGCTTTTTCCATATAACTTTTATAACTAATAAAACAAGTATTTATACCGTTTGAAATCTGCTGTCCATGCTATGCATGCTCATCTGTGTGCAGTGTATTAGGGAAAAGGATTATATAATGTTTGTGGTGGCTCTTTGTGATGCTCACAATATCTCAGTTGTTGACCTGTCTGTTCAGATTCTGCTGATTCTGGAGAACAATATTAATGTAGTCATTACTGTCTGTGCTTATTTCCATTATGTCTTTGGATGTAGTGAAACATTGTGTGTTACATATATTTGGTGTTACAACCAGCTCTGTAGGAGAAAGGGGAAGTGTGTGTGTGTGTGTGTGTGTGTGTGTGTGTGTGTGTGTGTGTGTGTGTGTGTGTGGTGTGTGTGTGTGTGTGTGTGTGTGTGTGTGTGTGTGGTGTGTGTGTGTGTGTGTGTGTGTGTGTGTGTGTGTGTGTGTGTGTGTGTGTGTGTGTGTGTGTGTGTGTGTGTGTGTGTGTGTGTGTGTGTGTGTGTGTGTGTGTGTGTGTGTGTGTGTGTGTGTGTGTGTGTGTGTGTGTGTGTGTGTGTGTGTGTGTGTGTGTGTGTGTGTGTGTGTGTGTGTGTGTGTGTGTGTGTGTGTGTACTTTTTAAATTGTGCATACCATGATTTAAACATAAGTTGGTAAATGGATGAATTAATGATTGAAACAAAGTCCCTGTTGAGCCTAAATATTGCAGCAAGTCACATTTATCATTTGTTCTTTTTACGTTGAGGAAAGTGAAGCAGCTGGCAAAAGGTTTGCTCATAATAAAACATGAGTATGACATGAGTACTTTTTGAATTGTATAACATGTTACAAATGTAGCTTTAATGTCTCCTTAATCTTTGATTCATTGCTATGTATGAGATTTGTGATGCGCATGTCTTGTTGTTGAGACTCGACAAAAGTATGCAAGGTAACGCTGCTTTGAAATTTGGACTTCTGCTTTCTACCTTGAAACAATATCTGTCAAGTTTCATGATCAGGAAGTGAGGGCTGTCTGCTAAACAACACTGCATTGTTTGTTGATTCTTTGAACAACAAGGCACCAAAGGTATGGCTGTGTTGATCTACGAGGATCAGGTTACTGTATCATTTTAATGCAATAGACATTAATGTTGCAGCAGGAAGCATCGATCCTCACAGTAATCATAATAACACCAAGGTTGTAGTGATGACATTGCACTTAGCTCTGGTATATTCAGCATTTTTTACTATCAGAGTGCTGTGGCTCCACACATGGTATTATAAGCACTATTTAAGTTAATCTCCCATGTTGCTGTGAGTCACTGTTTCATGCATTGTTGATATTGATGTTGGTGATTTTTAAGCTTCTCTTGATCAAATTAAAATGACGGATGGAGTTTTGTTGAATGTAAAATGGGAAACACTGAGTGATGGAGGAGAATACAGTTAGTGTCTTTACTGGAAGTTAAAGCGATGATGGATAAAAGACACTGGAAGACAATAACCCACTCTCTCACTGGTTTTCACTTATAATGAACAAGACTGCTGAGTAAGTCCTTACCCAAGAGGTAATAGTGTTTTTAAAATGTAGAACTCAATAAAAATACAATAAACACAATAAACGGTGTGTATAAAGAAGTATAACCCAACTGTTTATTGATGGTTTAACACTAGATGTGTTAGTGAGTGGTACACTGTGGTCATAAAGGGATGGACATGGTCAGCAACAATACTCAGGTCGGCTGTGTTGTTTAAACCATGCTCAATTGGTACTATTGGCCCAAAGTATGCCAAGAAAATATCCCCCACACCTTTACACCAGCCTGAACCGTTGGATGGATCCATGCTTTCATGTTGTTTGCGCCAAATTCTGACCCTACCGTCCGAATGTAGCAGCAGAAATCGAGACTCATCATACCAGGCAACATTTTTCCAATCTTCTAGGGTCCAGTCTTGGGGAGCCCGTGTGAATTGTAGCCTCAGTTTCCTGTTCTTAGCTGACAGAATTTGCACCCGGTGTGGTCTTCTGCTGCTGTAGCCCATCTGCTTCAAGGTTTCCTGTGTTGTGCGTTGGTTGAAACTAGTGGTTATTTTTGTTACTGTTGCCTTTCTATCAGTCTGGCCATTCTCCTCTGACCTCTGGCATCAACAAGGCATTTTCGCCCAGAGAACTGCCGCACACTGGATATTTTCCCTTTTTTCGGACCATTCTCTGTAAACCTTAGAGATGGTTGTGCGTGATAATCCCAGTAGATCAGCAGTTTCTGAAACAGACCAGCCCGTCTGGCCCTTAAATCACCTTTTCTTCCCAATTCTGATGCTCTGTTTGAACTTCACCAGGTCGTCTTGACCATGTCTAAATGCATTAAGTTGCTGCCATGTGATTGGCTGATTTAGATATTTGCGTTAACGGGCAGTTGAACATGTGTAACCAATACACATGTTCAGCCAGTGAGTGTATTATAGCTCTTGTCTTCCTGGCAAAAAAAGGTTGATCCTGATTAAGTCAAATTATATCCAAAAGTTTAAAAACATTAATGGTGTTGTGTGTACTTTATATCAACAGCACCTTTGCTCATTCTCACCTCATGTCAATATGAATCTTATAAGAAATGCATATTAGAAATTATAAGAAATGCATATTAGAAATTGAATCATTCTCCTGCACATGTTTTATAAAAATAAAATAATTTAACTATGTTGTATTTGTGTCTCTTCTGCAGCACTACTTCCTGGTGGTTTTTGGCCACGATGGACAGAAACCTCTGGAGCTGCGGACGGAGGAAGAGTCCGACTGCAACGAGTGGGTGGAGTCTGTGCAGCAGGCCAGGTAAAACACTAAATAAAGAATTTCACTAAGGTTTAATTTTATAGTGGTGTACTTTTATTCAGTAGTGTACTTGATTTTGAACAACATATTGTATTTCTACCTCAAGATGCAACAACAGTAAAAAGCTTAAAGTTCCAGTACTAACAAACTAATAATAAAATAATCAGACATCAGTAACTGGCAACATTTTAATGCAGAACCAGTACTTTACCTGTAATGGAGTATGTTATGTTATGATATTAATACTTTTACTAAGGTAAAGGATCTGAATACTTCATCCACCATGGTCATCTCCTTACAAATGAAGTGTTTTTCATACACAACACACAGTTATTCTTTATCTTTCATGACATAAGGTGTTGAATAACTCTCAGTTTTTCTACTCTCTGCTTGGCTTTTGTGCTGATGCACGTTTGACATAACGACCACGTGTTATTCCATATTTGTTTAACATCTAAGAGTGTGTGTGTTGTGTGTGTGAACGTGGACGTGTTCTGCTCGCAGCGGTTCACATTTAGGTCACACTGGTGCTGTATGGTTACACCGGTTACATCACAGACCTGATCTAGCCACTCGACCTCTAGTCCTCTCTTTTCACTCTGTTTATTTCTCTATGTGAACATTCAGGAGAAAATATAAAGCAAACCAGCTTTATTTCATATTTCAGGAAGACATATCACACATAATGTCAGGTGTTTACTTTTTGACGGAGAGAAGAAGTTCTCAGATACCTAAAAGTAAATAAAAAATATAAATAACCCTTTAATGGCCAGACCAAGAAAAAAGCGATGGAAAAATTATTTGTTTGCATTTTTGTATCAAATGGGACACAAATAACCACAAACAATTTTAATTTTTTTTACTGACCACACAGTTTTGCTTTTATGAGCCCCTATGGTAAAAGTGCATTTTCAACAATCATCATATACAGTACAGTATTTGTATGCATCAAACTCAAATAAAACACAAACTCAAATACATTTGTTTCTTTTATGGAAAATGAGCAATATATACAATCAGATATATTCATAAAAGATAATAAAAATAAAAAAATGGAAAAAAGTAATGTAAAGTGTTTTTCATAATAAAAAAAAAAATTGCTCATCTTACTGTATATGCTGAATTCATTTCATTTCATTTCAAACCTTTATTTATTCAGGTTGTATCCCATTGAGATCATTGACCTCTTTTTCAAGGGAGACCTGCTCAAGTAGGTTCCACATGAAACATTAAAAACATAAACAGAACAACAAAAGGACATCATACAGTAGCATTACAGGGATTACAAATTACATACTATCCACATGCACAGAATTACATACTATCCACATGCACAGAATTACATACTATCCACATGCACAGAATTACATACTATCCACATGCACAGAATTACATACTATCCACATGCACAGAATTACATACTATCCACATGCACAGAGAGAATTGGCCTAACAGGAAACCACTGGCCTAACAGCAAATGTCTATATCCTGTGTTGGCCTAACTTGCTCATCTGTGTGCAACTTTGGGCTGAATGCCATGCATGAAAGGTGCTATATAAATTATTATCACTCTTTCACTCTGAGACTCATAAGGCAGTACTAGATTTAGTAATATTACCATGAATCTAGCCATTTATTTACCATATTTTATTGAAAAACATCTCTGAAACTCTGAAAAAGTCATATTGCTAGTTTACCATAAAAGGCCAATTCGACCGTTTGGTTGAGCATATTTTCCAAAAAATAATTACACCCTTGTTAAAACTTAATTTGTGCATCAAGTTATCTAATTATGTTCAGTAAGTGCTCTGACACTAAAATATGTCAAAATGATATGGTTACCTTACAAAAGTTGACCAAAAAGAGTGATTTCTTCAGGAGTGATTTTTAGCATAACTTTCTCAGTTGAAGTTAGCTGAAGGGCTTTCTGTTCGAACCACAGTGACATCTAGAGGTTGTTTTGTGCATAACATGTCAACCAAAGGGTAGAGCTGGCTGAATCAGATGGAGTAAAACTTTTTTATTTATTTTTCAACAAGATATCAAGACACAAAATGAGCTCTACCAAATGGTGGCGCTGGCAGTTAAAGGCATAAAGGCATTAAACTGTTGTCTGAAAATACTCATTAAACATAAAAGTCTAATGAACTTATGGTAACCTATCAGAAGTAAAGGTACTCATTGCTCAGAATTGCTCCTTTCATAGTATATCATTATCATAGAATAACATTCCGTTTTTTTTTACTGACACCTTGAGTAGAAGTATAACGTTTCTTACATTTATAAAAACACTCAAGTAAAGTACACTTGGGTCAAAATGGTACTTGCTTGAGTACAGTATTTAGGTAAAAAATACTATATAACATATACAAACATGCATTCAAAGTACAGTACTTGAATAAGTAAGTGTTTTTATTCATATCTTAGTATAATCAGCAAAATACACTTCATATCAAAAGTACTCATAATGCAGAATGTATCCGACTCCTTATTATAATATTTTAAGAGCCAATTTGAGGCATATTATTTATATATATATATATATATATATATATATTTCTTTTAAATAACTAAGTGTTAAGTACATTTAGAGTAGTAACGAGTTCAATCATTCCCTCTGAATTTTATTGGAGTAAGAGTATTGGGTAAAAGAAAATGTAAATACAATTCTAGTTTGTGATAAACATGTCAGATGAATCTCTTTGTTTTATTTATCTCACACACGTCTCGTTTCCCCACTTGCTTGCTGTAGTTACTCTGACATCATCATCGAGCGTGAGATCCTGATGCAGAAGTACATCCACCTGGTGCAAATCATGGAGACGGAGAAGATCGCAGCCAATCAGCTCCGCACTCAGCTGGAGGACCAGGACACGGAGATCGAGAGGCTCAAAGCTGAGGTATGCATGAGTGCATCCACATCTGTGTGTGCATGCATACATAAACACACACACACACATGCATGTGCTCAGACACTCGGATGCAGATCAAAGCATGCAATGCATCTGGCATGATGGGAAAGCACTTGAGTTTGGAGCGCATGTGTCTCTTAAATGTAAACACAGCAGGGCTCCAGTGATTCCCAGAACATTACTTCCTCATCATGCATCAAGATATTTGTTGTTTTCAGCCTCTAAAGCTGTTTCATGAATGTTTTAACCTCTGGGCCCGTGTATTCACATGGAGACTGTTGTTGCCAGATTGTTATGATGAACAAAACCAAGGAGAGGATGCAGCCTTACCACAACAACCAAGAGGAGGAAGACCCAGATATTAAAAAGATCAAAAAGGTACATTGATGGTTTCTAGTGCTGGAATGCAGGTTCCACAATGCATTTCCTCAACTACTGTACTTGAGTTTATATTCAAGGTAGTTTGCTTGTTTATTTCCATTTAATACAACAGAGAGAAATATTTAGAGTTTTACTCTACTTCATTATCTGAGCTTTAGATAGTTAACAGAATAATGTTTTATACCCTTCCTGTCCAGTGTTAACCATGTATCTCCAGATGTGTTGATCTTTATTGCAATATTCTGAAGAATTAAATATTCCTTAATTCTTCTACTTTTTAAGCATAATAAACTATTTAAAAACCTATTTAAAAAATCAGCTCAGTTATGATCTCATAAAGAAATGTTACTTTAAAGGTCGTTCTCACAAGACAGCAACACTACAAACATATGATGATTGTATAGAATATGATAAATTGCCATAGATTTAACCATCTATATTGTAAGTATAGAAAGGCATTCAAAATAGCACAACCTTTACAATTGTAAGCATTAAAATATAACATACACACAAGTGCAGAAGTAATATCTATCCAAAAATGTTATAAACGATAGTTAAATACTGCACGATACTGCCCCTTTATGTACATCTTGCTTACACATACTTTACTTAAAGTGGACCTATCATGCTATATTTGAATAATATAGTGTAGGACCATACCTATATAAGGCATATTTATATATATATATTTTTTCAAAATACCAAACAGATCATGCATTTTAGCCATGCCTCATTTTGCTCAATTTGACATTTTTTAGCTCTGTTTTTGCAAGGGCAGATTCTGTGAGAACAGCACCATCTACAGGCCTGGCATATGTACTACAGCGTCTCCAGCGCTTTCGAACGGCAATGGCCGTGGCTGTCTCCTCCTGATTGGTTGAGTTGGCCCAATAGCCGTAGCGCCACCGTCCTGACGTCAGGACAGTGTTCAAATCTGGATCAGTTTTTATCAGATCCGTTGCAGCCCCTTTTTTAGAGATTTGGGTATGGAGGAAAATAGAGAGGGTTGTGTTTTCTGACACTTGGTGAGTTCCCTGGAACACCGGGGACACATATTCATGTATAAAAGACGTACAAAAGTGCATTTTGCATGATAGGTCCCCTTTAAGTAAGGTTTTGAATGCAATACTTTTACTTGTCGTGGAGATTTTTAACTGTGTGGTTTTATGTCCTTCACTAAAGCAAATTATCTAAATACTTCTGCCACCTTTGTTAACTTCACAAAATAACGAAGACAGGAGAACAAAAATAGATCTTATTGTGCTGTGGCTGTGCAGGTTCAGAGCTTCATGCGAGGCTGGCTGTGTCGGAGGAAGTGGAAGATCATCGTCCAGGACTACATCTCCTCCCCTCACGCTGAGAGCATGAGGAAGAGGAACCAGATCGTCTTCAACATGGTGGAGGCAGAGACAGAGTACGTCCACCAGCTCTCCATCCTCGTCAACTGTTTCCTGCGGCCGCTCCGCATGGCGGCCAGCTCCAAGAAACCTCCCATCAGCCACGATAACGTCAGCACCATCTTCCTAAACAGGTATCTTATTATAATGTACTGTTCATTTGAAGTGAATACTATCTCTAATAGTTGATAGTTACAATAAGGATCTCTCCCTCTGTAGTGAGACCATCATGTTTTTGCACGAGATCTTCCATCAAGGTCTGAATGCTCGGATCGCCAACTGGCCCACTCTAGTTCTTGGTGAGTCCTGCGCTACACTTTTGGCTGATTTAATTACAATTTGCGTATGCATTACAGCCCTGCAAACCCTTTTGACATCACTGATTTCCAAACTTGCTGAATCCACTTCCCTGCAGTATGAAAAAAAAAACATTTGAAAAACATTTGACATATTTATCACATTTAGATATCATCTCACATGTGAAAAAATCCCCCAAATAAAAACAGAAATTATAAAAACTTTACTGTTTTCTGTGGTGGTTAAAGTAACGAAGAAAATCAGTTTAAACCATATGTCCTGTTAAAAGCTGCTTACTTTATGATTATTATGATTTTTTTATCTCAAAGCTAATATTTGAGTTGTTTGTTTTTCACGCGCAGCGGACCTGTTTGACATCCTGCTGCCGATGCTGAACATCTACCAGGAGTTTGTGCGTAACCACCAGTACAGCCTGCAGGTTCTGGCTACCTGTAAGCAGAACAGAGACTTCGACAAGCTGCTCAAACAGTACGAGTCCAACGCTGCCTGTGAGGGCCGCATGCTGGAGACCTTCCTCACCTACCCCATGTTCCAGGTGAGCTAGTGCACACTACATAGTACGTTTACTCATGTACAATACGCAAGTACACATTGAGGTTCTTTTACTTGAGTAATTCATGCATCTTTATACTTTTACATCACTTTTGAATTAATGTATTCTTAATTTAAGTACTTTTGAGTCAACTACAGCTTTAGATATTTTCAGATTTCTATTTTTCTGTCCGGATAACACAGCGTCTCTTCAAAGGTGTGGATTTTGAATGGCATGAAAATGACTACTTCTAATTTAAATTAACTTTTTTTAAACCATCTTCAATCAGCTGGCAAATACATCGCCGCAAAGCTGAAAACCTGGCGCTTTTTTTCTAAGCTAACAGGACAACGTACACATTAATGTAACAGTAACATTAATCCAAAACATAAAATATAAAGACCTGAAACAATGACAGGCAACATATGATTGCCTTCTTTTACTTTTCGTGCTCTATATACTTTCTGTTAAATATTAACACACTTTAACTTAAGATTACATTACTTTTCACTGATTCAAACACCCTCTTATACGATGTTCAAAAAGCAGCTTTCCCTTTTTATCGTCGTCAATTGAGACAAAGCTGACGAAGACAATTGTTGTGTGTATTTCAGATTCCACGGTACATCATCACTCTTCATGAGCTGCTGGCTCACACACCTCATGAGCATGTGGAGCGAAAGAGTCTGGAGTTTGCCAAATCCAAACTGGAGGAGCTGTCGAAGTGAGTGTCAGAACATCACGCAGATAACAATAGTGATGGATGATAATTGGTGATGATGATGATGATGATTCGTGTGTTGTCAGGATGATGCACGATGAGGTGAGCGACACTGAGAACATCAGGAAGAATCTGGCCATAGAGAGGATGATTGTAGAGGGCTGTGACATCCTTTTAGACACCAGTCAGACTTTTGTCAGACAAGGTGAGCTTCTTCTACAGCACCTGTTGTAAAAAAACAACATTTTATTCCACCACCTTCCTCTCACTCCTGTCTGCCTCCATGAACAGGCTCTCTCATCCAGCTGCCGTCCAGCAGCGAGCGGGGGATGCTCAGTAAAGTCCGCCTGGGCTCCCTCTCTCTAAGGAAGGAAGGAGAGCGCCAGTGTTTCCTCTTCACCAAACACTTCCTCATCTGTACACGAACATCTGGAGGAAAGCTTCACCTGCTGAAGGTCAGCCTCATCTGTCTGGATATATTTATCCAAACATGGTTGAAGTTATAGTTTACTACTTTGAAATCACTTTAATTTTCTTCTAAAACTAGTGAAACCACTTCCTGGTGAGATTGTATTTCAGTGCAAATCAAATAATGAATTTGCATTGTAACATCTTCTCTCCCCCAACAGCAAGGAGGCACGTTGTCTCTGATAGAGTGCACCCTAATTGAAGAACTAGAGGCCAATGATGAGGACTGTGAGTATCCTTCATACCAAACCATTTATTGTTTCTTTTTGTAACGTTATTTGTTGTTAACTGAGGCTTGGACCTTTTGATGCAGACAATGCAGCAGGTCAAGGCTTCAACCACCTGGAGTTTAAGGTCGTGGTGGAGCCTCCTGACGGTCAGGCCTTCTCTGTCGTCCTCTTGGCTCCTTCACGCCAAGAAAAGGCCGCCTGGACCAGTGATATCAGCCAGGTATGTCTGACTGTTTTAAAGCTGGTAGCCATCTCTCACATGCTAGATAAAAGAGGACCAAAGTGTCTACTAACCTTTGTTTCAGTGCATCGATAATATCCGATGTAACGGCCTGATGACCAGCGTCTTTGAGGAGAACTCCAAAGTATCGGTGCCGCACATGATCAAGTAAGAAAAAAAGGGAATTCTGATGGTCTAAGAAACTTATAGAACATGAAGAAGCTTACAATTAGAAGCAGTGACAATTACCCAGCTCAATAATCTCTATGTATTTGAGCCCCTTCAAAAGTTGACATTACAAATATATGGCTCACTAAGGTTTCAAATGTGGATGAATCCACTGCTGAAATGCATTGTACCTAAAAAGCTGTTTTATGTAATGACTGAGCCTAAAAGGAACCCATTTGTATGAGAGTTATCTTTCAAGTAGAGTTGAGTTTAAAGTAGAGCTGATTTTAAGAATTTCCTCATCCTTATAACTTGACTTTTTTTTTGCCAAGATCCGATGCCCGTCTGCATAAAGACGACATCGACATCTGCTTCAGTAAGACCCTGAACTCCTGTAAGGTCCCTCAGATCCGGTATGCCAGCGTGGAGCGGCTGCTGGAGCGACTCACTGACCTGCGCTTCCTCTCCATCGACTTCCTGAACACCTTCCTCCACACCTACAGGATCTTCACCACGGCGGCCGTCGTCATCGACAAGCTGGCCGACATCTACAGGAAGCCGTTCACCTCCATACCTGTCAGGTACATAACACTGTGTCAAGCTGTAACACCTGCACATACTGTAGGCTACTAAATATAAGTACTGTACTAAATTACTAAATGAATGAACCAGTACACCATGCAACAAAGTTTGTTCATGTCAAATCTAATTGTTTCATCGTTCCAGATTTATAAATGCAAATAAATCCTTCATTTCGTTTTAGTAATTGTACTGTATTTATAATAACATTGAGGTTTATTAAGAAACATTTTCGCGGTGTCACTTTGGACTCACAATTTTCACAATTTTTAAAAACCAAATGGTAAATTGATGAATTGAGAAAATAAGCAGCATCCATATTGAAATAAAGATAATTTAAGATAAACCTTTATTAATCCAGGAAATCCGACAAGTACATGCTTTTTCTCAAGAAGTATTTTTAATGCAGGACTTTTGCTAGCTGCAAACTGGTAATAGTACTTTAAATTAAGTTAAAGTGGACCTATCATGCTATATTTAAATGATATATTGTAGGGCCATACCTATATAAGGTATATTTATACGTTTCTGTTTTCAAAATACCAAACAGATCATGCATTTTAGCCATGCCTCTTTTCGCTCTATGTGCTGTTTGCTGTCTACAGGGCTGATTCTGTGAGACCACGCCCCCCTGCAGGAGAGGGTAGCCGTGCTCTGATCAAGTCAAGAGGGGGAGAAAAAAAGATCTCCGTCCTCCGTGTTTTATTTATATATACAGTCTATGGTTTTATTATATTATTATAGGCCTATAGAGTCGTTATTCATTTGTTTTAAAGCTCAATAAATAACAAAGAAGACCTTTGACCGGCACTTTTCTAATTTTGTCCGGAAGATTTAAACTTTAACGGACATCTTGACCGGCGAAAGAAAACCTAACTGAAACTCTGCCGCACGGTCCCCTCGTTCCTTGGAAGAGGCGGAGAGGTGGGTGTTTGTCATCTGCTGGTGGACTAACCGGAGAGAATTACAGTGCTTGCCTCGACGGGGAGGGATTGCATTGAATTAAAGCAGCGGGAGCAAACGCTTGCCTAAGGGAGGGAGAAAAAAAGCCACAGCGGAGAATAAACAGAAGGGTAACCATGGTAACCATGCGCGGGAAGTCTTCTTCGCTGCTTTTGTGGCAGACTACAGCGCCATTTACAGGCCTGGCATATGTACTACAGCGTCTCCAGCGCTTTTGAGCGGCAATGGCCGGCCGTGGCCCAACCCCACATTCCCCTGATAGGTGGAGAGTTGGCCCAATAGACGTAGCGCCACTTCTGTGACGACATAGAAGTGTTCAAATCTGGATCAGTCTGTATCAGATCCGTTGCAGCCCCTTTTTTAGAGATTTGGGTATGGAGGAAAATAGAGAGGGTTGTGTTTTCTGACACTTGGTGAGTTCCCTGGAACACCGGGGACACATATTCATGAATAAAAGACGTGCAAAAGTGAATTTTGCATGATAGGTCCCCTTTAAACAATTTTAAATACTTCCTCCACCGCAGCATCACTGAAATTGTCTGGAAACACTGAGTGTGTTAATTTGTTTGCACACATTCATCCATCCTCATTGTCCTTCCCTCTCCTCTCATGTAACGGACTTATCCTGCAGTGCATTCACTCCATCTCCATGTTGTTCTTCATCCTCCTCATTATTCACCTCCTTTCTTCATCTATCTCTCTGCCATACTCCTCCTCTTCCTGTCACTGTCCCAGGATCGAGCGGCTTTCATGTGACCGTCTGTCCATCATGTCCCTCTGTCCTGACTACAGTCTGAAGATCACACAGCTGGCCCTGGACCAGTCCAAGTAATGCCCATCAGTAGAGAGAGAGCTCAGTCAGCGTTTTTCAGGGACACATCTACAGATCCTGTCTCTTTGTCTCTCAGGTCTCTGGAGCTCTTCTTCGCCACCAACCAGGGCTCATGGGGGACGGACCCTCTGAACAACAAATCCCCGAGGCTGATCCGCAAGTTTTCCTCTCCTCCGCCCCTCATCCTCTCCTCCCGCACCTCCTCCCCCGTCCACTGCCGCAAGCTCTCCCTCAATTGCCCCATCAGTGGAAAACCAGGAGTCTTGGATATGTCCCCCACCTCTTCTGCAGCCAACTCCCCCACCTTCAGTCACTGCCCCTCCATCTCCTCCCCTCCTCCCAACTCACCCAGGCCTACCTCTGGCTTTTTCTCCTCTCTGCCCACCGCCCCGCGCTCTCCCAGCCTCCCCCATGCCTCTGGAGTTTCCTCCCCGCCCCCCACCTCCACCAAGGCCCCCATGGACTTCAGCCGCGGTCCCGGGTCCCCAGAGCCGAGCCCAGCTGCCGGGGAGGACGTCAGCGGAGAGCTGCCTCGCTTAGACGCCTTCTGTGGGAAGCTGAGGCGCAGCATCCGCAGGGGTGTGTAGCTGGAGCACAAAGCATATGATTCACACTCTGCAGTCTCATGTGAATATCAGGCACACAACTGTTCCAGAAATATGGTTTAGAAACAGGTAAAAGCAGAGTTTAGGTGGCTCTGCGATCTAGTGCAAAGCTAAGTGACTTCAAAGTCTGCGTTAATACAACTTCTTTATAAGTTATTTTACACTTAAATCTGACAAAGCTCTGATAGTGGCCCGCCAACCCAAATAGAGAGACACAGAAATGGGTCACTGTTACCCAACGGAGGAATAATCGTGCTCTTGGATCACCATCTGGCTCCAGCAGACAGCTTATTCACTATAAAAGCAGCGGCAGAGCACCAGGTCAGAAAATGTCTGACAACAAATTAGGAGGAGAGAAAGAAATGAAGAGATAAACTTAGCTCTTACGTGGCAGCTGGAGTGTCTCCTAAGAGGAAAATGACGTATTGAATGGACGAGCCCTCCAACAAAACCCAAAATACCTCAGATTAGGACCAAGTAGGCCACAAATAGACGTGAGCCAGAGCCTGTTTAAAGTTATATTGTTGAATTGTTTTTTGTATCCACTCTACTGTGAGTTCTCACATTTTCAGAATTTTACCAAACCATGTTTAGAATAAGAATGAAGTATTGTAACATCATGTTGCAAATGTTTGAGCTCTCTCTTTCCTTTACCGTAAAAGTTGTCCTGGAGTCAGTTTCTATGGACAAGTTTCTCCCTGAAACACCGGCCAGCAGCGAGCCGGGCGACATGTCTCCCTGTCGCTCGCCTTCAACCCCGAGACACCTCCGCTTCAGACAGTCAGGAGGTACGACCAGTACAAACACACACAGATACACACTTATTGTATTCCCTTGTGTTTCTAATGTCTGTTATTCCCTGCAGTCACACCCGGGGATAACTCGCGCTGCCCGTTGTCGCCAGCTTCAGCGTTTGCAATCGCCACAGCTGCTGCGGGGCATAGCAGCACCCCGAGTGAGTACGGCAAGTCATTAAGGTCAAAAGATACACAACAGAGGAAGGTCGTCTGTGGTGGAAAGTGACTAAGTTCATTTATTTAGAACTGCACGTTGTTTAGAAATGCAATTTGAGATACTTGACAATTTCCACTTTCTGCTACTTTAAACTTCCACTCCACTATATCTCATAGACACATATTGTACTTTTTACTCCGCTAAATGTATTCAATAACATATCTTTTCTGAAATGAGCCATTTTGCAGGTCTCCTTTTGGTACCTTTATCATATTTTGATATTGCTATACTTTTATGTATATGTAACTATTGAATGCAGGACTACATGTAACAGAGTTTTTCTATACTGTTGTATAGCTACTTTTACTTATGTGTAAGTTTTTTTACTATCACTTTAGGAGTACTAATTTCACCACTTTTCTTTAGACCTGAAACTCCACATATCACTGAAGTCTGTTAATAGAGAGCTAAATAGCAATACTGACCTCAGACTTTTAAAATTGTTGCCCTTATCTGTACCCCTCGTAGGTTTTAGTAATTCTGACAAAGTCTGTGACAAGGAATTCATCATCCGGAGAGCTGCGACCAACAGAGTTCTCAACGTGCTGCGACACTGGATTTCCAAGCACTCTCAGGTGAGTCCACAAAAACAAAAAGTCTTTACATGCGTCCAAAAGATCCAAACACTTTGAGCCAGCCCACCTGAAAGAGTCTGTTGTTGTGTCTGTTATCATTGCCATCACGCCTACCCCCCTCTGTGTGTGTGTCCTCACCTGTCAGTATTTCCCCGATGGAGGTGCTCTTTGCTCTGCGTGTCCTCCTCCCACCCATGAGGCGAGCAGAAAGGTCAGCCTCCTCCCCTGGGACACTAAAACAACTATCACTTTCTTTCAAGATTATATAAGATGCTATTTTTGTACCTTCATGTTTGTAGCCTGAAAAGTGAACATTTATAATGTATTAAGTGGTCCTTTTAATAAACACAGTTCTGGGTCCATGTGGGCAATATTAGTCTGTGTGCTATGACCTTAGGTTTCACCACAGAACATCACTTTGTAAAGAAACAAAACCATTTACTTAGGAACAACGTAACTTCATGTTTTATCAACCTTATTTCGAAGGATTAATGTGTTTAAGAAAATACTAAAGTAAATTACAAATATATATTTGAATGCTTTAGATCTGTGGTTGCTGTTGACAGGAACGTTTTTAACGCAGCTCTTTCCCTTGCCAAATAAGTGTGAACATGATTTTAAGACTGTTTGTGATTTATTTTTTTTCCTTTTTCTTTTTCTTTTCTGTCTGGGATTAAGTAAAAATACACCAATAGATGTGAATTTCCCTCTAGAGCAGTGGTTCTCAACTGGTGAGTCGCGACCCACCCGTTTCAAGTGGGTCGCGGATGTGTGAGTGAAGAACAAAAAGTTGAAAAAATAAATTGGAATTTATTTTTATTTTTTTGGGAAAAAATGCAAACTTTTATTTTGAAGGACCGATTTTCTAACGCTGTGCATGCAGTAGGCGTTGGACTGGAAGTACCGGAGACCATAAATGGTTTTGAAAACTTCTCAATAAAACATCTCTGCTGATGTTTTTTCGAGTCTTCTGGCCAATCAGAATCAAGATTGTTGCCGGAAGTCCCCACGGAGAATAACTGAGGTAGAACTATTCTTTATACATCCATGGGTACAACTTCAGATACAAATGAACACATAATAAAATATGACCCCCGGTTTGATGATTGACAGGTCACAGAACAATGGGAGCTATCTACCCTTACCCACAATGTAAAGTAATTCACACAGAATCTCCTCTTTACTCTTCTCTCTGCAAGCTGTCAGAACTAAGTGAAAAACAAACAATGGCATAAAATATTATTAATATGTCGGGTAGTAATAGATTTATTTATTTTCTTCTTAGAGTGTACCAGAATGCGTAGTTTATGTTAGTATTTCTAAAAATCTCCTGGAGGAGAATCCCCCCAGACCCCCCTGCTGGGGTTGGGTTTTCAGCATGTGTGCCTTTTTATATAGTTCAGCTTTGATTCCATCATCTCATTAAACCTTTTTTAAAAGCATACTTTAGTTCTGTGAAGGGATATATGCACTGTACTTCACTTTTATTAATATTGTATTCTGAAAAGCGTATATATTACAGCACGATTTTTTGTTGAATAGATTTGAGTGCTTCAAAATCTTGAGTCACGATGTATTGACCAAGTAAAAAGTGGGTCCCGAGGCCTAACCAGTTGAGAACCACTGCTCTAGAGGGCATCCTTCTCATGTCTGTAGCTACATTAAGAGGCAGTTGGGATTTGAATGCACTTTAATACAATGAAATCAGTTTGATGTGCTTTTCAAAAGTGCCATTCTTTGAGACTCTGATTACTATATTTTTAGTTTTTTTGTTTGTTGTTTTTTCTCTGGTTCTTGTATACAGTGTACATTTTAGTTTTGCAGGACTCCCTGGCAGAGGAGATATTATATCTCAATGGGACTTTTATGGTTAAAATATTCAACTGTTTACTAAAATATACTCTTAGTGTGTGTCATGTTGATTATAACGCAGATATGGTTAAATTCAAGCAAAATGTCTTTGAATAATCATAACATGGATATCATATAGACAAAATGTGACATTGTTGACCTGAATCTGCTCAAGTCAGTCTTTCTGCAAACATGCAATACCCAAATATTATCTGTAGCTGTAATTTAGTACTAAATGTGTATAAATGTGTTCTCCATCAGGACTTTGAAATGAACATTGAGCTGAAGATGGGGGTGATCAATCTGCTGGAGGAGGTGCTGCGAGACCCTGACCTGCTGCCTCAGGAGAGGAAAGCAACATCAAACATTTTAAGGTACAAAGTCAGCAAGGTGTTATAGAATTGAAAAAATGGTCTTGCTTTTTTCTGATTCACGTATTATCTATCTACATATAATGCCAGCATAATGAAAAGAACATGTATTAAAACTGAAGAAAATGTAGTGCAGTACATCTGCAGTTTATGCGATGTGTCAAAGTGCATAACAGTGTCTGTTTTGTTCTTCAGTGCACTTTCTCAAGAAGAACAAGATGATGCTCAGCTGAAGATAGAGGACATATTACAGATGGTCAGTATGAACACCTATTAGGAGCACAATGTATTAATATACTTAATCATAAGTGCATTTTAAGCCATTTTTGAAATAATTTATCTCCAGAAAAGCTGTCCCCTACTACACTTCATTGTGGTAAGAATAATGATAATGTATAATCATCAGAGGTGGGGGACTCGAGTCACATGACTTGACTCGAGTCGCATATTTTTGGACTTGAGACTTGAGAAAGTTACCGGAGCGCCAAGTAGGAAGTGGAGCACACAGGAGACAACCGTTTCATTGCAGACTGTAATGTTTATGTTGGGAAATGGCAATGCATACATTATTTTAGATATATTTCGAACTCGGACTCTCATTCACTTCATGAAATCGCTACAGCACCAGGAGGCAGCGGGACGTGTAACTCCGCCTCTGAGAAGTGCAGCACCAGCGCGCAAAGAGCTGTGCCTTTTACGCAACGCCTACACTGTGTTTACTTTCATTAGAACAGCTAAAGAGCGACCGCAGGCTGGTACGTTTTAACCACACACACCTCTACACACATCGAGCTGCCCGATTAATCCCCCTATTACTCGTTTTATGAAGGAGATGTCCGGCCACTCAGCTCTGCTCTGTGTGTGTGTGTTCGGTGTGTTTGTGTGTGTCCGACAACAGCATTTGTTTTCAAATTACCATGAACAGTAATTTACACACATGTAAAATATTTGTGTTGTACTCCTGTTATCACTTTAGAGCCCTTTTAGAACTTATAGGCTTATAATTTCAGCGCCCCACTCTCCATTTCTGTTTATGTAGAAAATAAAACTAAACTTTTCATAACCACAATATTTTAACTGATTTAAATGCGGAAACTGGGGTTATTCATCAGAATTTCGTATGACTTGACTTGGGACTTGCTTGACGTGAGCAATGACTTGACTTGACTTGCTTGACTCTCACCACAGTGACTTGGGACTTGCTTGAGACTTGTAGGTTAAGACTTGAGACTTGCTCATGACTTGCACATGTATGACTTGCTCCCACCTCTGATAATCATATAGGTAGCTGTAGTGTAGTTTCTTTGCATCGTGGTGAATTGAGTTATAGGTGCATTCCCAGTATGTGGAGGTAACGTAGTGTACTAGTACAGTAGTTATTCCAAACTACTATTAGGTCTGGACTACAAATAGTTTGTGTGTGTTCCAGGCCGAGAGTCCTAAAGCGGAGTGTTTTGAGTCCCTCTCAGCCATGGAGCTTGCAGAGCAGATCACAATGCTGGACCACATCGTGTTCAGGAGTATTCCCTACGAGTGAGTACATCATACAGAGAGTACAAACATTGCTTAAAACAACACATTTCACAAGGATAATTTGGTATGTTTGTATTTTACAGGTCTGTAATTTTTTCAAATCATATCGGGTTATCTAGAAATAACTGTTATTTGATACTGCAATACTGGGCTCAGTTGGTAGTATACTATATTAGCCAGTTCACATCAGGTCATCTGAACATGATAATCCGATTAGATACATACGGAGAATACTTTTTCCTATAGTGAATCAAATGAAATGACTAATTACATAAGAAATGTAATAAAAGCATATTTTATTGCTGTACTTGGTTGGACATCATTTGAACTACTTTAAATAGTGATTACGGAATATTTGTATGATGATGTGTAGAGTTAACACATGTCAAACAAAAAATACAGTGTGTCTGACTGTACTGTGATCTGCAGGGAGTTCCTCGGTCAGGGCTGGATGAAGGTCGACAAAACAGAGAGGACTCCGTACATCATGAAGACCAGCCAGCATTTCAATGATGTAAGACTAAACAGGGTTTTTTCCTTTAAATTCTGCAAAATAACCAAAGGTATATTGACACAAAATTAAAGCAGCTATGTTGATATTTTATTTAGCATTTTAATATTTTTCAGCAAGAAATGATCTTTTTAAATTGGTTTCAAATGTGAGTATTTGATGCCTTTGTTTGTTGTATATCATGACATTTGAATATGTTAGTGGATCTCACTGTTACATGTGTCAACTTTGATTTGAGGACATTGTAACAGCCATTTAGAGGGTTTGCTGAGATTTTAAAGCCAAATTCTTAAAAGGTTTAGTGAAATAATAATCGGCATATTAAAGGACAATTCATTTCGGGTTTTTTCTTTATTATAATACAGAAATTGAACAATTGTTGTCTTCTTTTTGTCAGTGAAATAGAAGTGTTCCTCTCACCCTCAGATGAGTAACCTGGTGGCGTCTCAGATCATGGCCCACACTGACGTTGGCTCCCGAGCTAACTCCATAGAGAAGTGGCTGGCAGTGGCCGATATCTGCCGCTGCCTCAACAACTACAACGGCGTGCTGGAGATCACCTCGGCTCTGAACCGCAGCCCCATCTACAGGCTGAAGAAGACCTGGGCCAAAGTCTGCAAACAGGTTGGAACTATTTCATTGTTGTTTAAAAATGAACCTACTCTCTCTGCACAAAACCTTTATGATTTATTTGTGTTTTTAGACAAAGGCGCTCATGGACAGGCTGCAGAAGACTGTGTCAACGGATGGACGGTTCAAGAATCTCAGAGAGACACTGAAAAAGTAAATATTGCTTATTAACCAGACATATTAGTGTCTTAATACAGTCCCTTTTTTAATAACTTTTTCATGTTTATGATGTGTGTGTAGCTGTAACCCTCCATGTGTTCCGTACCTGGGCATGTACCTCACTGACCTGGCTTTCATTGAGGAGGGAACACCCAACTTCACAGAGGAAGGCCTGGTTAACTTCTCCAAAATGAGGATGGTAAGGAATGCAATTATTTCCTTGCTCCTCTTCTTATTTTATAATCATTATTCAAGCCTTACCCTGAACAAAAGGCTTTACAAACTGTGTGTTTTATAATCAGTAATCATTAGCTTGTGAGGCTAACAAGCTTACATACAGTAGGCCAAGGAGCACAGCATTAACTAAGTATTTTTAGTTTTAGTATTAGTTTGCGGGGTCACATTTAAATACTTTGTTGTATACATTGCTTATGTCTACGTCTCTCTGGGAGCAGAGACCTATTGTTTGAAAAATATATTTTGGATCGATTTAAAGGGTTCTTGTTAAAAAACAGACCGTGGCATTTTAAGGCAACTCGGTGACGCTTAAATTAGCTTAAAAGCTAGCTGGCTAAAGTTGATTCAATCTGTCTGCTGCAACAACTGCACAATGAAAGGTTGTGTGCTAGAAATAAGGAGCTGCTTTTGTGTACCACTGCTTAAAAATATAACGCTCAATTTTACATTTAGTAAATGAAAAAGGCATTACGATGTTAAATAGGTCGCAGTTATACACTGTGATCTTGACTGGCATAGCAAAAGCAACTAAGGGCTGAGCAAACAGTCAATTCCAGTTGTCTATTAACTCTCTACTCTTTCAGATTTCTCATATTATCCGGGAGATTCGTCAGTTTCAGCAAGCACCTTACAGGATAGAGCACCAGCCCAAGGTGAGTTTAATTTAATGCATTACTTATGAAACATAACATTTGTGTTTTTTCAACTAATAATACAAAATCTTTTGTCTTTTCTGACTTCCTCCAGGTGACTCAGTTCCTCCTGGATAAGACACTAGTGATGGATGAAGATACCCTCTATGATCTCTCGCTGAAGATCGAACCCCGAGTACCCCCTGGCTAACTTCATTACACACAAACATATTCTCTTTACAATATTAACTATAATTAAACACAACTTGAGTTTCTTTCTTAATGGCGGGGGTCGTTTCATAAAACACCCCGAGTTATTGTGCTAAGGAAACTCGGGAGAAAATGTGCCTTGTTGTGTAAATATCTGATGTGTATAGTAAACAGAATGAACTGTATAACATACACAACTCTGCCATACAATCGTACAGTTATGACTGTAGAAACAACCATGTTAACTACTTAAACATGGCACTAGAAATTAACATGTTGCTGCTATCACGTTGTAAATACTAAACAACCTGCCTCTGTAGTCTTGCACATAAACATTGTTAGATGATTTTTAGATGATTTGTATGATAATGGCCAGATTAATCTGCTCAGTCCCCGGGTATCATTTTGTGCAGCATTTACACAGAATACATCAAAGTAACTTGATGCTGTGTTCAAAGACATGTTGCTCACTGGGAGCAAACAGTCCCTTGTTTGGCCACTTGGGGCAGCAGAACAAGCTGGAAACATGATTATGAATTTTTACTTTGAGCTCTGTTTTGGTCTCCACCAACTCTTTAGAGGAATATCAGTTAAAAAGCTTCACTTTCCCAACAAGCTTTTCTTAAAATGTGTGTGTTTGCTACACAGTGTTTTTTATATAGAGATTAAAAAAAAAAAAAGATCAAAAAACAGTTGCCCTCTCCTGCAAGAAGCAAGGTCTATGAGAGCTGTAAGACTCAACCATATTTGTGAAGTTGCGGGATGTAGGCCTACAATCAAAACAATGAGGTGTAACCCCTTTCACATTACACAGTCATTAAACCATTGTTAATATAGTATATAGTCTGTATTTGCTGAGAATTGCCCTTATCAATATTTTAATATTAATAATGCAATATTTCTCTGATGCACACTGTACACTACCTAGTCAGCACCAAACAGCAGACCAACAAAGTTAGCAGTACGCTGCTAAAAAAATTGTGAAGAGGAAGATATTTCCCTCAGTATTTGGAGACCAGAAAAAGAGCAAAAAAACAACCAAACAGAACATAAAGTTATAATATATCGTGGTTGTGTTTGCAGCTTGTTGAGTGGAAAGAAAAACTAATATTGCTGCTTAAAATATATAGTACAAAGAATAATTTGTAACTCACAAAAGTATAGTGTTTTAACCCTTACATGCATAAGTGGGTCTTTTTTGACCCGGTGAGGTGGTATTCTTGAAGTATCTTTGTAATTACATTTTTTTATCATTTCATATTCCAGCTATTCCTCAAAAAACATGTTTTGGATATCATGCCATTCAAATTTTAAATTTACATTTTAAGAAATTGTAGTTTTTGTATTACTACCCCAAGCTTCCATAAGTGGGTCAAAAATGCATGCATCTTCTATGGAATTTCGTTTTTTTTTTCAAAATGTAAAAAAAAATTCTAAAATTCTAAATAGTGAAAAATTAAATATAAAATATTTCTAGTGTAAACCAAAAAGTGATTTTTCTTAACCAAAATGACAAAAATGGCATAAAAACACATATTATTCTAATACGGGTCCTTTTTGACCCACTTATGGAAGAGTGTAGGGTCCAGTCACTCGTGCATCTAAGGGTTAAGGCAGCTTGCATGTGGGGATAAAGTACTACCGGGGGTCTCTGTGGGTGTCACACTACCTGCAGTACCAACTGTGGCCACCTCTGTGATATTGCCTCTCAGGCCAGATCTGATCACAGTGAGAGCTGATTTCAGATCAAGGCTCCCACTGTATCATGTCAGTTTATATTAAGCTTTAATATTGCGTATACCAAAATGATAAGTAATTAAATTGCCAGAGACCAAAATCCCCACAGTAAACCTCAGTTATTGGAGGCTCTAGGTGCACCGCTCTGGGGAATGTCCACTTGACCTGGTTGGTAGGTCAGCTTTCTGCATATGTCTGGGTCCTAGTGGTTTCCTAAACAGCTGGAGTACAGTTAAAATATGTGTATCTTAAACGTACTGTCTTGCCTGTATCTTGGTGACGTTGAGCTCACAGGGGATGACGAAGCATTTTCTTATCATTGCTCATCCGTTAAGGTTTATATTGTTGCAGTTGCCACTTTATTGCATTTGCATGTTACAGCAAAACTCTTTGTAGTTTACACACATTCCAAATCTGAAAATGTACTGCAAATGTCATATTTATTCATGTTTTTGACAATCAAAACCTGTTTCAAATTATATTTCTTCAGTTTTGTAATAGTAGTGATTTTGTGCACAAATCTTTCTGATTTTGAATAATCACATTCCTGCTCTTGTCACCAGTATCAGCCTGAAAGGTTTCTTACATGATACAAAGCCCCTACAGTTACATTTTATTTTATGTGTACCATTTTCTTTTTATAATTCCATGTCAATGTGATCTTTAAATCATATTCATATTTTAAACCTTGTGGACTGTTTTAGTCAAATAGGAATAGCTTTGCGCTATGGATTTCTTATGAATGTCAATAGACTCTAAACTTGTTTATAGCATGATTATAGCATGATGTCCTTTGTGTCCTTGGGATGACTGTTATCCTTATTGTTGACTTTTACTGAGTTTTAGATTTATTCATTTATTTTGGCTATTTCCTGATGTCAGGAATCTTCAAAATATTCGCTGCGTTAGTATTGCTTTCTTACATTACTGTATACTTTAAATTCAAACTTTGCTGTTGTATTTTTCCATGCATTTCTCGGTTTAATGTACAGATATTTACACACAATAAAAGCAAAAAAAGCTAATTATGTTGTTACAAATGTTTTTTATGGTGATTAGAGGGAGATATGGTTGGCGCTGAGGACTCAATGCCTCACTAGAAAACACAGAAATGCACTGCAAATATAGAATACCCAACTGAAAAGAAACAAAAACCGTTTTTCTACGGTATTTGCATTTTTCTTAGTTATTTGGTTGCCGTCTTTATTTATACGTTCCGTAATGCCTTGTGGTTTTTGTCAAATTTGTTCTATTTGCATTTATTTTTGGAAGTTTCTCTGTGTAGAGCTCTAGGGGTCAGAGTGTGTGTGTGGTGTGTGTGTGTGTGTGTGTTGGTGTGTGTGTGTGTGTGTGTGTGTGTGTGTGTGTGTGTGTGTGTGTGTGTGTGTGTGTGTGTGTGTGTGTGTGTGTGTGTGTGTGTGTGTGTGTGTGTGTGTGTGGTGTGTGTGTGTGTGTGTGTGTGTGTGTGTGTGTGTGTGTGTGTGTGTGTGTGTGTGTGTGTGTGTGTGTGTGTGTGTGTGTGTGTGTGTGTGTGTGTGTGTGTGTGTGTGTGTGTGTGTGTGAATAAACGTGTAAGTGGAAAATATCAAGGTCAGACAGGACGGTGATATCGGACCCTCTGTGGTCATGCTTAATCGTAGCTCAACTTGATCGGTCTGTACCGGTGTAGCTCATGTTGGTGGCCCTTCATTGGTTTGTTCCTGAACTTATGATTGGCCTCCACTTTTTAATCCTGCATGAGGGGGCGGAGTCCCCTGAGAGAGGAGAGTGAAAAGCTCTTTAACAAGACACCTTAAGCAAGAAGGCACAGAAGCTTTCCTACAGGTATGTACCTTCTTTCTTATTTGTCTTGCAGAACAGCTCGACTAGCTCCATGCATCGCAAACTGTTTGTGGATTAATTTGTAAAATCTGTTTCAGAGAATATACAGACACACCATCTTGACTTTGATCTTTTGGCATGCTTTTGACATTTTTAGTTTACATACGCAGGCTTACCAATTGAGTGCATGATTTAAAAGTTATGCTTTAAATAGGGATGGTGGATTGAAGCCGAAGTAATGATGAGATGACAAATTCAAGCTGATGTGTAACAGAAAAAGTACTGCAAAGATGCAGAACTTGATTTATGCATATGGTTCAGAAACTTTTGCAGTCAAAATCTCTCCAAGCAGTTTGTTGTTGCACTTTGCTTGAAAATATATATTTTTGACATCCTTTTGAGGTATTTTACTAAATTCAGAGTTGATGTTAACTCTGCTGTGTCCTCTGCAGAGGACGAAGCTGCTCTGACGTCCTAAACAGACTCCCGCAGAGTTAAAAGGTCACAGTGGTCAGTGATTTGGAGTAATCCTTACCATAAGACCCTAGATCCACAGGGTCAGTTTGCAGGGAATGCTTGACAGGATGAGATTGCAGATTGGCATGAAGGTCTAAAATTCTTGCATTTCCACGTCTATGTTAGTTGCGTCACCTCTCACCTCATGAGGGTCCCATCTTGTGACCAGATCATAATGTCACTATGTTGTCAGCCAGGGATGAATGTTTCTTGGCACTGTATCCTGGCAGCATAACCTTTCTCCAGTGATCTATAAATAATATTACCACTGACCCAAAGAGTCCACTGTCATTCAAATCAAATCAAATCAAGTTTTATTTATATAGCATATTTTTAAACGATTTTTGGTCGAGCCAAAGTGCTGTACATACAGTAAAAAATACCCTACAGTAAAGACACTTTACAGCTAATACAACAGCACAGTTTGTGCAGAATATCAGTATGAGAAAAAACGACACCCTCTGTCCTTAGATCCTCACATCGTACAAGGAAAAACTTCCGGAGAAAAACCCACAGTTTAAAGGGAAAAATGGGAGAAACCTCAGGGAGAGCAACAGAGGAGGGGTCCCTCTCCCAGGACGGACAGACGTGCATGATTCACCTCTAATCATTAAGAGGAGAGTCATTGAGATAAATTCAGTATAAAAAGTCCTGTGGTGTATTGGGGGAATGCTTTACTCCTCGGTTACTAGTGCAGTTCAGATCAGCCATCTTTACTTTGACAGGATTAACAGGAGTAATGATGTCCTTCCAGCTTCCTTCTATATTAAGACACAGTCTCGTGGACTCTACTTACCCTCTGTGAAGGAAAATGAGGACTGGCAAAGAATCTGACCTTTCATTAGGAACATTTATTTCAAGTATTGCATTTAACATTTGAAATCCATCTTGATGGACATTTAGACAATATTAACAATACTGAAAATATACTTTGTTCCTTACTGACTACTACAGACGGATTTCTTCCTGAGCTGTCTCAAGTCCCACTTTTTCCTTTCAGCTTTAGACAGACGTCTGTTCATTAGCTAAGCCTTAGTGGATGTATGAGAGCTGCAGGTGGGAGACTGCTAATGCTAAGAAGCTAAGGGGAAGAGCTGTCCCACCTGCCACCCACTCTAAGCTTGTTACTGTTCAAAAGGAAAAACCCAGGGGTCTTAATCCCAGCCGGTGTGATTTACCTTACATGTGCTAATGAAAGAGTCTATCCATTGGTATGATAGGCAAGGCAAGGCAAGGCAATCTTATTTATATAGCACTTTTCAGCACGTGGCAATTCAAAGTGCTTTACATAGCCATACAGGTACATGTTGGCGCTAGTGGGCATACCTCTCCGTTTTTCATTGAGCTTTTTTATTTCCAGTTCTTGGTTGTAAAACTCCTCAGACATTTTGCTCTCAGGTTTTTACATCCTTTGGATCTAATAAATAATTACTGATGAGCAGTTTATACTACCACAGAAGATTTCAAATAAAAGTAGCTAGTACGCCAAAGCTAATTAGCTTTGCTAGCTTCTGCCTATTCTTTACTGTTCATTACTATGAAGACAGTTTGATATTGGTAAGGTTACGATTTACGGGTCAAAGTTCACAAAAGTTGAATTTGAAGCTAAATAAAATATA